AAAAAAAAAAAAAAGAAGTCAGAGAGCCCTAAGAAAAACCCTTCGAGAGTAGAGTAAATTCTCTGTAACAAAGAATATGATTAAGCAACTGGTTTCTTAATAAGTAAAAAAGAAAGGCAATTAGAAGTTCCATCAAAACAATAGCTCCTCGAAAAGTCAGGTTTTACGTATGAAGCCAACTAAATGGCTTGAGCAGCTGATAGAGGAGGAAAAAAAGAAAGTCCACTTGACCTTGACACTTAGGACATTCTTTTTCATGCAACAGAAGATCAGCGACATCAGAGTCCATTCCCTTCTCTATGGGTCCAAATATGGTACTTGGTTTTAGAGACTAGAAGCTACAAAATCATTGTATCATAAAAGTTATATACCAGTTTTTAATTTTAACAATCATCCTATAGATAAAGCAGAATTAATTACAATTACAGAATAGAATTCAAATTATATAAATGTTATAAAATGTTATCGCAAGCTAGAGTTGGAAAGCAAAGACTAAGGGAGACTCCAAGCCACCAATTTCCTCATCTTAAACACCTAGAGAATCGGGGCGCCTGGGTGGCTCAGTCGTTGGGCATCTGCCTTCGGCTCAGGTCATGATCCCAGGGTCCTGGGATGGAGCCCCGCATTGGGCTCCCTGCTTGGTGGGAAGCCTGCTTCTCCCTCTCCTGCTCCCCCTGCTTGTGTTCCCTCTCTCGCTGTGTCTCTCTCTGTCAAATAAATAAATAAAATCTTTAAAAAAACAAAACAAAACAAAAAACACCTAGAGAATCAAGACATTCTATGGAAGGTTGATGGATCAAGCAATCGAGTATAAGTCTAACCCTTAAAATTATGCAGGTACTCAAGGGCAAGACAAAATGAAAAATATACTAAGTAGCAGAAACTGGAGGAACCACGGGGACAGCAGAAGGATTACTGTCAGTACACTAAATTCCTCATCTTGCACAGAGGCAATTCGATAACTGCTACTTAACCTTGATGAATCAAACAAATAGGAGAATAAGAGAATCAGTTAGAGTTAGCCAGACAATGACCGGAACACTGAAACACTGAAAGGGTTAAAAGTGGAACTGAGGACACAGGCGAAGGTGGGGACATTTTATTTTTTGTGTGATACCCTTCCCAGCATTTCTTCCTTCTGAGTTGTTTGAATTATGTGCATTTAAGTGTTACTTTTATAGATTTGCAAAAGGACTGTAAAAATCCTCCCAGGGCTCCAAACATCCTCAGATTTAACACAGAGAGTCAAAATATCGGGTACAATGACGGGCTCTAAATCTCCTTGAGTCATAAAGGAAGGAGGCATAATCTCAACTTGCCGTCCAAACCAGGAGGCCAGCGACATGTGAACTATGATTTCACACAGGAAACCATAGAGACTGGGAGGCCCATGCGGAGGCGCTGCCAGGCCTCCCTGAGGTGATGCACTAGACTTGCAGGGGAGGTGGGGAGTTGCCCATCAGAGAGGGCTCTGCTCCTCCTCCTCTGAGGACTGGCCCTCAGCAGGCTCACAGGCCCACTCCTGCTGAATAGACAGAAGATAAGCACTCATCCAGGAAAGAGGGCTGAGGCTTCACATCCTTAAGCAGAGACCATAAATTCCTCGAGAATTCACTTGCAGTTAAGATTAGGTAGCTCCAGGCTCTACTTCCAATCTACAAGCCTTATAGAGGCATTAGATCTGAACTCCAGTCGCTCACTCATTCATGCACTGGGTGCTGGAAATGCAAAATGATTTAAAACACCATCCCAGCCCTCGAGGTTCTTACAAAGATGTGGGGAATTAGGTGAGTCAAGATGGAGGATGAAACCACACAGTGAGTGTGGCTGCACTAGGGGGGAACTTTAGGTGCTGTGGGAGCCCAGAGGACACAGTGGTAATGAAGAATCAGGAGTCATTGAGCTGGTAGGACAACAGGAGGTGTGCGCATGTGTGAAAACACTGAGGGCAGCAAAGGGCTTTTGTTTCTTATTTATGACTCTACCAGCTGTTATAAAAGTTGCATAACTTCACTGTGCCACACATTGGCAGTTTGCCCACCAGACCTCTCCCCTTCCTTCTCCTCTTCCTTCTCCTCCCTGCTCAGTGCCTATGCGGCTAATTCACATGGACCCCTCAGTTGGATCCCCTGAACTCTGACTTCTGGTTGGGTTTGGCCGATGCAAGGTACCAGCAAGAGACCCAGGGAATGGTGGAAAGTGAGGTCAGGGTTTTCCTCCCCACCTCTCCGCCCAATGGCTGCCATGCCCCACAGCTCCTGCCAGCTGGCCCGTCCACAGGGCTCTCTCTGGTTCTGTAGAACCGCCTTCTCCTGGCCCCTTCAGATGTGAGTGTAATGGCACCCCATTCTCACCACTCCTGAAAACTGCCTCCTCACGGGTTCCTGTTACTGAACTCTGCCTGCTTTTAAAAAATATCCCTTTAATAAAATACCTTCAAAATGCCCAGTTTGAATGTACCATCTGTTTCCTGCCAGGGCTCTGGCTGATGGAATCATCCAGTAAATAAAATTTAGAAAACAAGAAAAGGAAATGATCACCCACAAACCAAAGTCATCTAGCACATGCAAGTTTTAACATTTTGGTATATTTCTTTTCAGCAGTCTTTATGTCCATATGTTTACATAGCTGGCATTGTTACACATATGCAATTTTACCTCATAATATCACATTAATTTTTAATTAATTTCTATCTAATGTGATATTACAAACATTTTTACAATGATAGTTATCATTTAATGGCTTCTACCCTGTTTCAGGTAAAATTCTAAGTGTGTTAATATTACATTATCTCATTTAATCCTCAGAACAATCTCATGAGATAAATATTATCCTTGGGGGCTTTCTGAAAGGAAATACTCATCTGGAATGAAAGTGAATTATTAGTGGCCTTCTCTTAAAAGGCAGGGGTTTTAACTTTATACCTTCTTAGACTAGTGTCTCTCTCCAATTTTCTCTGTCAGTAAGAAGCCAAACTGGACAACCTGATCCTCACACTTTACCCTAACCAGTAAGGGAAGTCACTGGGAAAGTCACTAGAGGTTTGTAACTGCATGACCAAAACATTTCGATGTGGATCTGGTCCATACAACCTGAAACACCAACACTGAGGTTAATAAGAGCTATAAACTATGGGCTAAGCACTGGGTCAAATGCTTTAAATGGATTATCTCTCATAATCTCTCTTAACTTCCCAGGAAATCTACAAGGTGGATATTGTTTTATCATCCACATTCTACAGAAGAAAACATAAGGGCTCAAAGAAATTGAGATACTTGCCTATGGTCACATAAGGAAGTGCTAGAGAATCTCAATCCCAAGTAATCACCACCATGTAATACACCTACCTGCCTAAGCTAAGACATCTCATGGAGGTGAGAGAAGGGAGTCAGGATGAGAAAACCACACAGCTCCCAGCTGGGCTGGGCGGCGTCTATGACACCCTCACTGTGTGATGTACTTCCCAGAACATCAGCCTCACTGCCACCTCTTCATTCACCTGTCACTCCCACAGGCATTCCACTGCCCCCACCATGACACCCTCCCATCCACCCAACCCAGACAGCTCAACGGTACCATACGCTATAAGATGCCCCTTTGTCCACTTTGGGTGGTGGTCTAAACAACAAGATCTTAATTTTGGTGACACAGAAGCCATGTCCATTAATGCGGGTTACAAAAAAATAATACCCATATGAAAATCAGAAAACAAATGAACATTAACAGATTTTGACACAATCGATCTCAATCCAAAATTCAATCCCAGGTTGATTAGCTCTTCAGAAAAAAGAATTTTTTTTTAAGTGTACATTAATTTCTGATTAAGTTTAATTGGCCACAGTGAACTCAGAAACTATTTGGAGGATTTGCATGATAGTCTCAGGATATAAGACTTGAACATATCTTTTCTAGAAAAACCCAATTCCTGACATGAAGTCCAGTGTTATGAGCACCTGTCAGGCCAGGTAGCCGTCTCCTGTCCCCATGGCCCCAGGCCTTCTCAGAGCACTTGAAAGGAGGAGAACTACCCCCATGGACCCCATCACCTGAGCCATGCATCTTGTGACTGGTTCCTGACTCTGATTTGAGCAGGAATGATACAAAAGCCCTGTACCCCATCCTGATAGAAAAAAACAGAGCAAGTTCCATAATGACAGGTCTAGCCTTGAAAGCACAGAAGAATAGGGCTGCCCCCAGCCCAGAGGACTTACCTGCTTTGGTAAGCTGGCTCCAGACAGCAGTCCCAGTGGCACCTCTCAAAGCTCTCCACAGAGCAAGTCTCTCAGAGTCTGAGCTCCTGCTCCTGGCAGTTGCAGGCCTTCTGGGAGGGGCGGCTCGGAAGCTGGGTGGAGAGCGTGAGGAAGGCAAATGGGAACACAGCCAAAGTGATTTTAAAGAATCGTGTAGGAAACCCTGTAACCAGAGAAGTGACTGAGATGGTACTTACATTTATATTTTGGAAGCATCTGCCTTTAATCAGCGCTTAATCTAACTCTGTAGAAAGCATCATTAATAAAGAAACAGGTTGTTTTTTTTTTCTTTGGCCTCATCCAAGTGGGTGAGAGAACAGCGAAGAGTCTATCTGAAAAGCCATGCTGGGCTTCTGCAAGCAGCTTAGCCTGTAGGCCACCTAACCCAGGTGCACTGAGGTTTCACCCCCCAGGACATACTAAGGCCCACAATGTGAAATTGTTCATAAGGCACCCAGTCAGCTGCTCTTCCTTTCTTTTTTCTTGTGCCATCAACACTGGGGGTTCCCACCTATGAAAACACATGCTTGCTTATGTGATTGTCATAAAGGACACCAAGAAAATCCTTTGGCCACCAAAGCAACTCCATAAAGGATCTGTCCTCAAGCCCTGAACTCCCCCAAGTTAGTTTTTGTTTTGTTAATTCTCGAGGACAATTTAGATCTCTTTGGAAAGTGTCACACCATAAGCTATTTTCAACCATTGTCACCTTCCAGAGGCTAGCTGACAGCCAACAGGGATAAACAATGCAAGATGGGTGTTTACATGGGGGCAGGAGGTAGGAAGTAGGTTTAAAGGAGTGTTGGAGTAGAATTACAGGCAGATTTGGATCCTGCCAGAAGTGGCACTGAACACTAGTGAAAAGAACTGGGCATAAATCCCAGCTCTACCACTAAAGCTGCATGGTATTGGATGAAGCACGCACTTTCTCTGAGCCTTAATTTTCTTTGCATAAAATGGGATAATTCTTTCAAACCTCCTTAGTCTTAAGAAGCAAATGTGATGATAGCTATAAAAACATTCTGCAAATACTGGATATAAGTATCTTCATTTTTAAGAGGGAAAAGGCCTGGTTGCTTTTCTCCCCCAACTGACTCAACACCTAGATCCCACGCAGAGAAACTGAAATCACAGGCATGGGATTAGTACCAGGCTTGGCACAATGAATATGCCCTGACTTTTTAAAGCAGTGATCAGAAATTCTAAACCCCTGTCTGATTTCAGAGTGATTCTCAGAATAACGGAAGACCAAAGAATAGGAGAAGTACTTAGAGTTAATAAATAAGCATTTTTTATATGGATAAAAATGTGTATGTCTGAAGAGGTAAAAGAGGCCTCTACATCCATAACCTTAAAAGGTCCTGGCCTTTTTACCACTTCTTTTTTTTTTTTTCTAAAGATTTTATTTATTTATTTGAGAGAGAGAATGAGACAGAGAGAGAGAGCATGAGATGGGGGAGGATCAGAGGGAGAAGCAGACTCCCTGCTGAGCAGGGAGCCTGATGCGGGACTCGATCCCGGGACTCCAGGATCATGACCTGAGCCGAAGGCAGTTGCTTAACCAACTGAGCCACCCAGGCGCCCGGTCCTGGCCTTTTTAAATATAAACTCTTTGCAAATATTATTTTCCTCAGCTCTATTAAGTTATTTTCTGACTTCCCACTCCGAAGGTTCAGAGAACATCCTAGCTTCATCTTCAAGGTAAATGCAAATGATTCCAAATGTAAGGACTTGTAAAGAGTAACACACCAACACAGGCCACCCGAGCAGTATGGGGTTTGCATTCAGGACTTTCCCCAGACTCACCTCTCCTGTGGAGAACTTGGGGAAGGCAAATATGCATTTGAAAGCTGGAGCAGAATCCCTGTGTTGAGTCCTCATAATAAGAGGATGTTAACATCAGCACAGGGTCAGGATGGCCCACATTTGCATTCCTGAAGCCATTCAGCATTGTCACCTCTCTTGGGTGCTAGCAGGCAGCAAGACCCTGGTGGTCTCAGTCTTGCCATCTGATAAGCTGACCAGTTTCGACATCAGTGGCCAAGTCAGAATCATCAGCTTTAGCAGCAGCCACACATCCATCTGTTTATTTAGCAAAGATGACATTGAACCTCCACTATTCAGAACATCTGAAAATACCAAAACAAGACCTGAGTCCTTAAGGAGCATGCAGTCTGCTGCAAGAGAAAGATGTACAAAGAACTATAAGCAAGAAAGAGGGCATCAAGGAGCTGCAAGCAAGATGCAAACAGAGATCTCCACAGAAGGGATCAGGGAGCAACTCATTTTGGGAAGGCTTCCAAGAGGAGGTAGGATTTGAGCTGAGGCTGAGATAATGAATGAGAACTCAATACGCAGAGCAAGTAGGGATGGACTTTCCAGGAAAAGCCTGAGCAAGGACACACAGGCCTGGAAGGACAGGACATGTGTAGAGAATCTCAAGTGGTTCTATGAGGATGGACAGGTGACAAAGAGAGGAACACAAAAGAAGAGGAGGTTTTGCATGGCCTTGCATACCACTTGAACACAACTATGCAGTTTGAATTTGAACTTGTATTGAGTCACAGGCATGGTACTGGCATAATCTTAAGCTTCTGATAATATATAACCACCAACTCTTCTGTTTCCCTGATGTGCACTACTACTGGTGTCTCACTGACATGCAAGTAAACAATGTTCATGGATAATGCCAAGGGTAGTGACATACACCATAGCACGTGTGGCAGCCAAAGTGAATGGAACATTTGTGGGAAAATCTGGAGGGAGCAAACCAAGGGGAACTAACTGGCTGTGACTGATTTAACTGAAGTCAGAGATGGCCTGAGGAAATGTAGCAGTGGTACCAAAAGCAGCTGCTCTACTCAGAAACCTCCTAAAAGCTGGTTCCTGTATATTCTGCCCTCCCCTGATGCCACAGGGTCAGCCAAAGGCTTGCACATACATGTAGAGACTGAGCAAAGGTTTCAACGTCCAGCTCCTGAGGTCTCTTGCAACACAGGAGTGAAGACTGCTCCATCCTCTAACTTCCACAGTTCTTTCCTGGCACCTGCATTTAGCATTTAGTTCACTGTGATTCCACTTTCTGATATGTATGCTGATATGATGTGTATTTCTTTTTTTTTTTAGATTTTTTTTTTATTTATTTGACAGAGACACAGCGAGAGAGGGGAACACAAGCAGGGGGAGCTGGAGAGGGAGAAGCAGGCTTCCCGCCGAGCAGGGAGCCCGATGCGGGGCTCGATCCCAGGACCCTGGGATCATGACCTGACCCGAAGGCAGACGCTTAACGACTGAGCCACCCAGGCGCCCCATGATGTGTATTTCTGATATGTAATATTGAGGAGTCTTTTGGTTGCAAGTAACAAAATCCTAACCCTAGTATACAGTATAAGCAGAAAAGAGACTTTATTGGCAAGGATCACAGGTGTCACACGGAATCCAAGGGAAGAAATGCTATGGACCCTCATGGAATAGAACCCAAAACTGAAGACCTGAAGGAAACTCAGGAAGCTCTGTCTCTCTTCATCTCCTGTTTCTATTGCTATTCCCCAGCCTCTATGCTCCCTTTTTATACTGTACACTACCTTTTTGTGGTCCTAGTGGACCTGACAGAAAATGGCCATTCTCAACCTCTGTGTTTAAATGCAAAGCCCTTTCATTCTGTGATACAAAAATCCTTGGGGAAGGACCTGAATCATCACACTTGGCTCCAGGGCCTGACTCTGAACCAATCAACAGAATTCAGGGAGCTGGAGGTCAGGCAGCTCTCACTGCCAACCTGAGGATGGATCCAGGAGGAGCAGCTCCTAAAGAACCCCCAAATGGGGACAGCACCAACATCACAATGTCTTAAGGATTAAATGAGGCAACATGTATGAACTTCTCTTTGTACACTCTTAAATATTATACAAAGATACAACTTTATGGTTCTTTGGGAACCAAAAGACCTGGACTTGAATCCTACCTTGTTGTGCCACCTAAAAGCCATGTGATCTCTTTTTAAAATTTCTCTAAATCTTGGTTTCTTCATCCAGAAATGGCACTGATAACATCTACTGTCCACAGCATTCATGAGACTTAAATGGTCAGGGGATTCTACCACTTTGTGAACTGTAAAGTACAAGCTAAAATAAATGTAAGTGGTTGTGGTAAGAGTCAGTGTTCACACATGTGGTCCCCCACTAACTACAGTGTCCTTACCACCCCACCCCCACAGATAGAAATACACACACTCCAAAGTCTTTATACCCACCACAGTCCCTACCACACTTAAGCTCCAGCAAGTAGTAGCTACAGTGGATTGCTAACTTATTTGCGTAGGAGGGAGAGGGGAATAGGTGGAGGAAGGGAGGAAGGGAGAAAGGGAGGGAGGGAGGGAGAGAACAAGGCATGCCGCCAGGCTGAGGCTGGGATAGGTGGCCAAGTCTATATGCAAGCCCAGTAAAGGGACTGGCTGGAAGTCAAAAAGGATATAATTAACTTAAGAATCACAATAAACTTGTAGCCACACTTAATAGGTTTCAAGTATTTTCTCAATTTACCCTGGCTTCATTGTTCTCGGTTTGCCCTTGTTGAGGAGGAAGGGAAAGGAAAAAGGCAAGGAAAAATCTTAAAGAGACAGCACTCCCAAGCCTGTAAACAAGAGGAACTGGTGTAGGCTTTAAACAAACACTCAGTGGCTTGCCTGACGTCAGACCTCTGTGCAGCCACTCCTCAGAGAACACAGAGAGGAGGGGAGTTGAGCTGTAGTGCCAGGAAGAAATATATCTGACCTATGAAACTGCCTTGCCTGACCTCCCTCCCCACCACCCATCCCAGCCCCCTCCTCAACCCTTCTCTCCAGGAGCCCTTAATACCCTAGAGGCTGAAAGTAGTCTCAGGGCTGCAGCTGAGTATCCCTTGAAGAATTCAGGCAGGTTTGCCTCATGATGCCCTAGTTGTTTTGTCATTTCAGCTTTTTCTATGCTTTTCCCTGACTGAGCAGAAAATGGGTGTTGGTATTTCTGGAGCAAATTTAAAGCC